TGGAAGCATAGAGCCCAGAGAATGAGGAGCAGTGAGAATCAGGTGTCTAACTTTGTTGTTGGTAGTACCTGCATCTATGTGGCTCATCTGAGAGTGAGTGAGATTTCCTTAATGAGACAATGGCAGTGAAAACGTCAGAGACAGAATACAATCTATTGGTCAACAGATATGAGGGGAGTGATTGGAAAGTTGAAAACAAAATAAGTGTGAACAAGAATCATCACAGCAGCATTGCTGAGCCACAATTCCAATGTTCAGTTTGAATGATGCTGGATGGAGGGAAAGGAGATTGTACTGTGCTTTAACAATGACCGAGAAGCTGACAATCAACCCAGCTAGAGCCCTCGCCAAATGATAAAGGAACAAAAGAGCAAGTTACGCATATGCACGATGAATGACACAGATACACGAATACCATGTCCTTGATAATCTTTTGTGGAGCAAGAAAGTGGAATGGGCTTAGATCAACGAGACATTCACGAATCAAGTCATGCAGCAAGGGGTCCAAAAACAATGAGCTGTAGGTGGCAATTCATAGTGGACTTGACGTGCATGTAGCATGTAAGTTAAAATAAATGTTGAATAAAGTAGACAGAAGGATACCCTGCAACCATGGCAATGGATGGTGATGAATGATATTGGGAGGGGTCAACACTTCTGCTTTCAGCAACAAATATACATGGAACAGTAAGTTCTAAACTCGGGCAGTGTCTTTGGTGCTGTTAAACACAGTAAGCATTTGCAATCAAGTTACTAGCAAAAATGATCTAAAATGAAATGTACACTGTACTTTGACTGGTTACCAGCTGATATTTGACACATTAATTTGCTAAGCAACTGCTAGTTCCTGCTTAGTAGCTCCATGACACTGGACTCAAATGTTATCAAGCAAGTCTTTCACTATGATTACTCTTTTTACTTTTCACACCCTTTGTAATAATTTGTTTTTGTTCTTGGGACCTGTTTATTTCACACTGATTCAAATCTTGATCAGTGAACCACCACTGGTTTTCTGTGCAGCCACAAATTAAGCATTAGTCCTCTCCGTTTTCCTTATTAGTGTACAGGTCCCTAGCCAGGGAAGAGAAGGGCTGGGCAGGGCCCTTGGCAGAAACTTTGTTGGTCATTCTGAACATTCTGAAGACAGTAGATACTGCTTTGAAATTCAATACTGTCACTATCGTGTATTTTCTGGTCACTCTGAGGCAAAAGCAATGGAATTTTTTCCAGTTTCCCTAGTAAATATTGACTTCCATTGACTGGATTATTTGAAATACACATCACTATAAACTGGTCATCTTATCCTTATGACGGCAAGAATGTCCATTAATGCACTGCTAGATCCATGCTTCAACCATCTGGAGATATACCAGGATAGCCAGTTGAGGTCTTGTATGATCTCAGCACTCATAAACTCATTCCACTCAAATGTGCACCCAAAAAACAGTCATCTGCAAGACATTCCGCAAGCCATTTTAAGAGCCACATTTGTATTGACTGTAGCCTCATCAGCAACTTGGTTACTTCGACAGGGTTGTTCACTGGGATCACTGATGAAGGCCATTCAACTTGTCCTCTGCATACCCCTGTCAAAAGTGTTCCACAGTTTTGTATTTGAGTGATAAAAATATGGGAAACATCTTCACCGTCAGCCAGGGTTTGGAACCCCACTGACACCCTGATGTTGGGCCATTCCAAGGTTCAGATGCATTCCCATATTACCTACATTAACAATGAAGTCCTGTCTGAAATGAGATCAATTGAAGTGTTAAATTATTATACACATCAGTTTTGTTAAGAAATATAAAATAAATATACCTAACAAATACTTCCATCTCTTCCATCTCGTACATTTACAAACTACGTGTATTAACACCACATCCGCGAATGTACAAATGTGCTGTACTTATGATTGTATTATCTTGGAGGAAACAATGAATTCTTATAAGCACTGCATAAAACCATTTTGAGGTGCAGCAAGCAATTGAAATTGGAGATTGATCTCTTTCTAGTATGACATCATCTGGCTTGGTTTTGCTGCTATACATGAACAAGGAGCACACTGAAGTCTGTGAAAAGACAGCGGATGGTGCTGTGACATCATTAGCAGAGCTTCAGTTTGGGGACACAATTATCCTGGCCTCAGCCACAGTACCAAGCCGTAGCCCTAATATTACTCAAGTAAATTGGTAAATGTACATAGCCATAAACTCATAGCCATAGCCCCAG